GCCCCCGTGCAGTCGCAACGCTTGAATACATGCTCTGGAGCTGTCGCTCTGTGCGTCCATGCTGCTGGGTTGCAGCATAATACTTCGAATAAGGAAAAACTTGGTTTTGTTTTGTTACCGGGGGTTGCATAGCCTGCTAAGAGAGGTTGTCCTCTGCAGTTGGTGGAGCTCAGGCTGAGTGTGCGAGGGACCACAGCCATCTGGTGGTCAGAAGCCAGCAGGCAGCGTTCGTTCTTTTTAAAATAGCAACGTTAGAAAACACTTTTAAAAAGGGAAAGGCATTTAAAGGAATTCTTTATAGCGGTGTCATTTTATTTTTTCGCAATCATAAAGCAGTTTTTACCCATGCAAAACACCTGGCTTCTACTTAAAATGATCCCTTGCAGACCTGGCACGCTTTTTTTTTCCAAGTTCCTCCTCAAAAGAAACCTTGCAAAATTATTCAAGCTATTACTGGTATAATCTATAACGAGTATGACGGTACTAATTTCGGCATGGAAAGATTCCATGCCCTCGTCCCCATTCTTCATATTTTCAGTTGCTTGAAAAAAAAAGATACGTCATCCCTGTAGGATGAATCTCTGCGCTGGGTGGCCCGCGGTGAAGAGCACCGCGACCATGGCTGGCTGCATGGTGGGCAGGGGACACGCTCGCCACAAACAGCACTTTGAATTTTCACCTGTTGGTCATTGCTTCAAACTGACCCCACTTGACAGCCACCAAAAACCCTTCCCACCTGTTCGCCCCGTGATGAAAATAGTGATGAGCCAATTCCCCTTGGGGACGGTTCCTTCTTGGCTTTGCCAGCTCCTGTGCCGGCTGTCTGGGGAGAAGGAAAACAAGGTGAGGGTGGAGAAGGGGTCCTTACCCTGAGGTGGGCTCAGGGCATCCCAGGGGCAGCAAACAGGAGCCTCAGCTCCCTGTGCTTGGGGTATACATTTGGGGATGGCTTCATTTCTCTTTGAAGGGAAGCTGCAGGCAATGCACCTAGGGAGCTGACGGCACCAAGAGCTTTAAGTGCGCGCTGAGGCACAAACTGGTGTTCAAAACGTCACTGGTGTGAACAGACTGGTGTCCTTCATGAATGCTGACCTGACACCAGAAGTCCTCCCTTCCCGGCAGAGCCAGGCAGCCCAAGTCCAGGCACCGGCAAGAGGGTTTGGGCATCGGACCCCTTGCTCCAGAGGCCCTTCTGGTCCCACAATTCCAAAACCCACCAGCCTGGGCTCCACTGTGCCTCTGCTCTTGCTTCCTATCCTTTAAGTGCTCCAGGAGGGGAAGCTCAGCATTTGTCCCTTTTGCCTTTCCTCCTTGTTCTGTTTTTCTGTCGAGACTCGCAGGATGGAAGCTGCGGGGGCTGTCAGACCCTCGTGTCTCAGCTCAGAGTCCTGTCTCGCAGGAGGGACCTGCCCTTGCCCGGGGGGGACGCTGCGCTGGCCTGTACCTCGTGGTCCCTTGATTTCGAATGTCGTCCTGTGGGCCACATGCCCAGCACAGAGCCTTTGGTGCAAGCTCTGCGTGCTTTGGCTGGGGTGGGGGGGAAGGTGGTCTCCAGGGGGCCCAGGTCGGCTCTTGGACTTGCTGCAGGGGTGACAGCAGAGACCAGAGCCAGCGCTGCGTGGGCACATCCAGCCTCTCCACCCAGGTTTCACTTCTAGCATCTGCTGGGAAAAGGATGCTTTGGAAATGAAAAAAAAAAAAAGAAAAGGTGGCTATTTCAGGAAACTGCGAGTGCGGTAAAAATGGACTTGTGATAGCGCCTGCAGCTGCACCACTCCCCAGCGTTTACCCGTGTTTGCCGCATGAAACCCTCATGCATTTGGTAAGGCAGAAACCTGCGGCTCTTGGGTTGCGCTCTTCAGAAAGTGCTTTGCACACTTCGTTCAGTCTAAGCCCTTCTTAGGTGAGGAGCGTGGGGTCCCGCGGCACGGTGAAGCCCTGCTGCAGAGCTGGCTGTGGGAGGGGGAGTAGCTCAGGGATGAAGCCGTGATCGTTTTGCTTCAGGCAACCTCCAGCAGAGCCACTCGTGGACTCGTCAGCAAGATGGGGCAGGATGGGCGGCTTTTAGGCTTGTTAGGCTGGGCTTTCCCCTCCCCACCACCTCCAGAAGATAGCATGCGCTCCCTGGTTTGAGGACTGCTGCTCAAAGAGGGTTCTATTAAATATATAACAGATATATATTCAGAAAGGAGGGGGGCCTCCCCCAGTTCCTCCCAGAAGCACTGGGAATGCAATGGAATTGGAAGTGGCGATTCATTTTTCCAAGGGACAACCCGTCCAAGGATAGTGTGTGCTGTCCGTCTTGGAAAGCTGAAGAAGACACAAAGCCTCCTCCCGTCCCACAGCTGCTTACAGAGGAGGAAACCCAGCACCCTGCTTTTTCCAGCCCCGCTGCCACCAGCTGCAGACCAGCTTTGCTCACAGCTTTTACCCTCCAGTCTCTGCCTGAGCTTGGTACAGCTGAGACTGCAGCGCAGGCAAGGGGAGAGGGAGGTGCTGAGGTTTGGACAACTTCGGCTAATTCAACTCCTTCCTACAAGTCTAGGGCTCAGATGACACTTTCAACCTGTTCAATCTGCTTTCAAGAATCTTTCCCCCAGTTCCCACTCAGCTGGACACCAGGGGATGGCATGGGAACAACTGAAGACGCCCTGTGGATACCAGAGAGCCCTTTCATAGCAACTGTATTTCTTGAGTGTCTTAAAGTGATTTGTGGGCTGCGAGGTGAATATTCGGATCTGGTCACGAGGCAGAGAGGGAAGGGAGAGGCGGCAGCTCGCCCTTTTGCTATTTTGAGATGGGCTGTAGTCACCTCCCCAGGACACCGTGCCAAAAAGCAGCGAGCACCTGCCTTGGCTCGCAGCCCCCTCAGCCCCCACGCTGTGCCTCGTCTCAGCACCACAGTGCCCTTGCCTTTTCGTGGAGAGCAAATGTGGCTGCACTGTTGCACCCCTCTTCTCACCCCCCCAGGGTCCTCCCCTCCCCACGCCGGCGCTGAGAACGCACGCCTATCTTCAAGGGAGGCTCAAGACTTTGCTCCTTTAATGTGCAATTAAAAAAAAGGCAACTCTCCCACACTCAACAGGAAATCCCACCAGCAGGAGCCCCAGGCTTGGCACCCTCCTCCCTGGCTGCCTTTTACAATGGGGCAGCGTGTGCGGTTTGCTCGGAAGGGTTTTTCTCCCCACGTGCACAGGAGCCGCTGGCTGCTGCAGGGCTGCTTTTGCTGGCATGAGATGACTGATGTCTCGCTTCACCTCTGTGCTCACCAGCTGAACCAGCTACCCAAGCAACAGCATGTTCTTGCCAGTATAACAGTGTCAAGGCAAGGGCCTCCTGCTTTAGGGAACACAGCTCTTCGGCCCCAGCACACATAGCTACCCTGAGGGAGCTTATAGTGTTCGCCTGAGCAGAGGCTCAGAAAGACTCCCCACCGGCACGATGTGGTGGAAGGCATCAGTGGAAGTGAGAGAGGGAGGTGGGATCGCATCGGGGAAAGGGGGGAGAAAAGTATAATAACGGGAGAATTAAATTAACTGCAAAGTTTGCTGAAGGCACGTCCTACCCCGTAGCAGACAGCCCGTTCAGCCTGGGGTACCGCTTGCAGCTCAAGCCCTGTGTGCAGCCGAGGCCGTCGGTAACTGGCTGTCATGCAACGGAAACATTTGGGCTGTGGGTAGGATTCTAGATAAACTGATAGGGAGGGGGAGGAAAGGAAGAGGAAGAGAAGGGGTTGTGAGTGGGAAGGTGTTACATACCACAAGCACTTGTGCAAGAGAGACTAGAGCAACAGGGCCCCTCTACCATTAGTGTTCCTCCTCTGCCACTGTAATGCTTTGCCATTCCCATGCTTTCCAGTCTAGCAGTGGCAGGCAGAGGGCTGGAAATCATTCTAGGGATGGGGCGAGGAAAGAGGCAGGCTGGAATGATTTCAGCAGCAGAGTGCAGCCTCTCCTGTTTCTTGGGCAAGATCTCTAACTACCTCACTGGAGAGGAGGATGGGGAGCTTCTTCCGCTTTGCCCACACTGTACCAAAAAATCCCACCCCACTGAACTCCCGCGTTCTCTAGCAGCTTTGAAAACCCCCTTCACAAGTCTATTGTGTGACATCCCTAAACACAAAAAAGATTATCTGAAATCTGAAAGCAGCTTAAAAATAAAAACAACTCAAAGGGAAAACAGGAAGAGAGTGGAGGAAGGGGACAGAGTCCTTCCCCTGCTGGCCCCTGGTCGGAGGCAAGCAAAACAGCACACAACAGCCTCCTGCTCCACAGCACACCAGTCCATAGCATTCACAAGGCAAACATAGCATCATCTTCCTTTGCTTGCTTCCGATGATGGCTGGCAGCAGGAGGGGAGACGGACGTCCCTGCTGAGGAGCTGGACAAAGTGGGTAGCCGGTCTGCAACTTTTGCTCGCTCTTCCAGAAACTTGTCAAACTCTGGAGAAAGAGAAGAGCAGAACATTAGCAAGGAGGGAGGTTCGTGGAAGAGCCAAGCTGCTGCCAGGAATGGCTGGAGAAAGGGATTGGCTGGCAAGTCTTACCTTCGCTGGTGACACCTTTTGCATCCTCTGACTCTCCCTAGGGAAGGAGGAGGAGGGCACAGTTAGAAGCAAGGTAGACAAAGGCACCTCCACAGATGTGATTCTTTGTCTGCATGAAGGGAGACAGGATAGTGCTCCTCCCAGTTCCACAGTACAGACATGTCAGAGTGGCCCTGAGCCTCAGTTCATTAGCTATGCTTCCCAGTAGGCTAATTATACTGGTGTGGTATCCCAAACCCTGTGTCCTTGGCTTTTCCTCCCCTGCTCCCTCCAAGCAGCCTGTGCCACACATTCAGCAGTGCCAGCGCTGTTGTACACTGCCTGAAATCCAGCCCTGCAGGCAACTTTGGCAGGACTGCTGGCTCCAGGAAAGCAGCCCCTCACTTACCACATCAGTGGAGAGCCATTTTTCTATGTCTTCCATGAAATTGGCTTGGGGAACCGGCACCTGGGACAGAAGGAAAGAAAAGGATGAGGCCGAGAAAAGAGAGGATGTTCCAGGAAACCCACTCTGCAAAAGGAAAGCCCAACCCAAAAGCTAACTCTCTCACCCCACCATTCAGTCAGCTCAGGCCCTTCCAAATCCAGCCAGTGCCACCGCAAAGCTCTCCCAGCTACCATTGCCACCGCGCACCTGCTTCCTCTGCCCCGTCCGCACCCAGACACGTATAGTTTCTAGAATACGTGCCATTAAAAGCATCTGGGGTTTGGTGGTTGGCTTTGGGGTATTAGGACTGGACCAGGCTTTCCGTTTTGGTGAGGACTCACTAGGTGGAAATTGGCTGCTTGTGGTAGGCAGCCAGAGAACAAGAGATATGCTTTTCTCCACACCTCCTCCCTTCTACAAACCAGTGGCAGTCTGATGTCAAAGTCTGCGATGCTGAAGATATTGGACATGCCAGGTTTGGCACCACATTAAGAAGGAAAGAAGTGATTACTTGGTAGGATCATGGAGCACAGCAGGATTTGACATCTCACCAAACTACAGAAACAGACCCATCAAAGAGAAAGTCCTCCACAATTAAGGTAAATTTTGCTTCCAGTAGGGATGAGGCTAGCTCAGAAGACTTCATGTCCCTGGCCAATTTAAGCAGCAAAGAGACACCTTCCTAAAGGACAGAGATAACCTTGAGGGCAACCAAGCCTGATTCAAAACCCCAGATCCTCTTCTCCACTTACGAGCTCCTGAACAAAGCTGAGCAAGGAGCAGCCCTTGCTAGAGGATCCACAATCAGAAGCGTGAGAGCATATTTGTGGGAACTTATTTATTAGTCTGCTAATATGTATAGCTCCCTTGCTCTCAGGAAAATAGCAAGACCAAGAAAAAGAGCAACCCCTTCTTACCGAGGACAGGCAGATTTCCCCAAACCAGGGAGCAAGTTCAGATAGTTACCACAGCTGGCAGATGGATGAATGGGGATGGAAGAGGATGTGTGAGATTAGGCAAGTTTCAAAGCAAAGTGGCTCTGTCTACCCAAAGAGGAACTCTTTGGGGTAGAAGTGCATTCAAGCCAACTGGACAGCATGTGGGGAAACTTCCTAGAGCAGACATCAGTCTGGGCAGTAGTTATTTCAGGAAGACAGGCTAACAAGCTTCAGACCTGGGAGTGTGTCAAAGCCTCAGTGTGCCTGAGGGGATGGAATTGCAGGAATTCCTGCTGCCAAAAGACCAAATTCAACAGCCTGAAGGCTCAAACACTTTAGCTAGAGGAGGAGGCCTTGAACAGAGTAAAAGCTGGAATGTGTTTTCCTCCAAATGGGGCAGCTTATGCTGAGCAGGAGAGGCTGCAGGGGGAATGAATGGCGGCAGCCTTCCTCATGATGCCACCAGCTAGTGCCTCTGCCCCAGACGCCCACCCCAAAACAGGCCATCCTCTAGCACAAAGAGTGGCACATGCTCTCCTGGCCTCAGAGCTCCTAGGATTTCTTCCTACAAACATGTTTACTTGAGGAAGGACTGACACTCTGCCTGCTTCCTTCCCAACCCTGGTCTTCACTACTGGCCCAGACCAGGGTTGCTCCATTTCAATTTGCAGTCTCTGCTGATGTCTGCTGTGCATCCTCACGTGCTGTGCCAGCACCACCTCAGTTCAGCAGCCCCAGCCTCCTTCCTCCCTGCTGGCGCTCCACGATCTCACCATTCCTTGCCGCATCATCCACTTAGTCAGTTGGGCTCCATCACTGGAGGCACCAGACTCCCCCTGGTCGAGAGAGAGTCAGCACTGAAAGCTGCTATCACAGAGGGTGAGGGAGAGGGGAGGCAGTGGGTTTAGGGTGGGGGAAAGAACACACTAGTACTGGTGGCCTACTTCTCTGATTGCAGAGAGAAGGCAACTGGACTCGGAAACCTGCTGAAGAGGAATAAAACATACATTTCCAGGTGGAAATTTCCCTGCAGATATAAGGAGGCCATCCTGTTACTGACTGAGTCAACCCCAGACTTTCCATAGTTCCCCACTGCTGGGGTTTAAAGAATGAGGTATATAGCTCAGGTAGGAAATGCAGGTTGGTGGCAACTGGGAGTTATCATCAGTCATGTTAAACACTTGATTTTTTTCCCAAACAGACAGCACATTTATTGCATTGGTAAGCAAGGAGGATACTTTCATTGCTGGTGATGCACTGAAAGCTCTGTGGCCACTTACCGTTCCTGTGTTCTGCTGCCGGGCATCCAGGGCACCAGCGAGTCCTTTGGAGGCTTGGGGATCTTCGTACTTTACCCTGAAAGCATGAAGTTAAATAACACACAGGCTGATGAGATGCCTGAGAGTGAAAAGCAGGAACTCCTAAACATATATTCAGTGCTTCTGACCACAACACTTTTCATCTCTCGTCATTCTTCTCCCAAGAGCTTCTAGAAAAGGTGTGCAGCACCCCTATTAAAGATGTAGCCCACCAAAAACCAGACTAATCTCCTCACTGCAACATCACTGTGGGACATCACAGGACAGGCCTGGCACATGACAAGAGGATGACAAGGCATCATATGAAAACAACCATCCAACAGGCTAACACACAGACTTACAGAGCTAGGTGAATCAACCATGACATTCATCTTCTCTGGGCTTGACTACAGAAGAGAGATAACTAACACAGACTGACCAGAAGACTACAGCTATTTTAGAAAGGATTCGAGTAACAAGCCCCTACATATTCACCTACCTTCACAGACACAAACACAGCTCAAAAACATCTCTTTAACCGATACCACTCAAGAACTGATGGTGGCAGAGACTCACTGGTCTATGCTACATAGGAGGTGAGACTGGATGATCAGAAGAGCCTAGTGTTGTTTCAAGGGCTCCAAATGCACCATTACAGCAACCTCTTCCACACACAGACACACGTCTCACCCATAATCTCCCTCATCCCATTTTTGTGTCCCCTTTAGGCTGCTACCACACATGCTAATGCCACACGTCACCATTTGATCCATGCAGAGTGGGGAAAACAGTCCATCCTTGCTGGGAGAACGAAGCCTCTCCCAGAAACTCTCCGCAAGCCTCTTCTCCAGCTGCTCCCAGGCCCCTTTCCGCAGATCCAGCAGACCATCAAGTGGAGCTGTTTTTGTTGGGGGCCAGGGGCTTGGGCCACCGGCGCTCAAACTTCTCAAAGAAGTGCTCATCAGTGAAGGGGCCGCTGTGGACAATGGCATCAAGGATGAAGTACAATGCTGCTATCATGCCACTGATGAGGAAGAACGGCAGAAAAGGCTTGAGGTGTTTCAAGCACTGCTTCGCCGAGACAGACATGAAGCATGGGAGGGTCAGGAACAAACCCCAGCAGCCCTGCCTGTGTCTCCTGCCAGCACGTCCCATCCAGGAGCAGCAGGGCAATGGGTCTGTTCACGCGGAGGGAGACACTGAGAGCAGAGGCTGGTGAGTGAAATGTGAAGCCTGAGACAGTGAGAGTAGAGGCTACCTGGCAGGAGTGCAAGTGCGGGCAGATGGAGGGCAGTGAGGAATAAATAGAAGATGTCTCGTTACTTGGGCGGAGATCACAAGCTGCAGTCTGTTAAAGATTGCGCCACAGTGGAGAGGATACGATTCCACCCCTGCCCAGATCTCCCCCAGCCTCCAGCACTGAGCACATTCCAGTGGCTCGGGTGTCAGCACCACTGTTTTTGTCTGGACTGCCCCTGTCCTCAGGCAGTACACCCCACAGTAAAAGTGGTGGGGAAACCCACGGGCAAAACACATGAAGCTGTGTGTAGGCCATGGGTTTTCCCACCACTTTTACCAGAAGCAGTCTGAGGCAGAGGAATGAAAGCAGACAACCTTAAGAGACCTTAACTTGGTACTGCCCAGCTGCAGAACAAGGCACTCCAGTGGATGGAGGTCAGGAACACAGGTCTTTGAGGGCTGGAGGCAGCCACGTGCCTGTGAGCTCTACTGCTTGGTAACCGGTGGAGAACAGTGGATGACTCTGACAGGCAAAACAGCATGAGATCAGCCACAGTCTCTCCAGCCAAAGGGATCTGGTCAGCACAGCTCTTGTTGTCTCCTCCCAGAACATGGATTCAGGAATCCACTCTTTGTAGTAGAGAAGAGGCCCAGTTCAGCCAGTACTATGGAGACCCAACTCTTAGTGCTTTACACCAGGACGTCTCAAGCACACTATGGAGGAAGAAACATCAGTCCTGCTTACCAACAGGGAAGCTGAGGCACAGAGCAGTGCCCTGCCTTGCAAGTCACAACTGACTGCATACTTCCTGCACTCCAGTTCAATACTCTGTCCATTACGCTGCATCGATATTCAGCAATTCCCAAATTTAACATCACCCCAGTCAGGCTACACGAGTTCAGAGGCAGACAAGAAATCTCAGCCAGTCCCATTCCACACCTTCATCTCCAGACACTGCATTTCCCCAGCACATGTGGCACCACAGTCCCCACATGCAAGAGACTGCTTCCTTCTGCCCATGCCCGGGAGAACACTGTGAAGGGGAGACAACGGCAGCAGGAAGAAGGACTGGGAACACAGAGATCATCCCACAAACACTGTGTCAGAAAAGTGCATTTCTATTGCATCCTACTGTCTCCCAGGAACTGCTGCTGGTTGGGGTCACAGCCCCAGTTGCCCTGAGCCCTCCCCGCTTTGCAAGAAGACAGGACAGGACAGAGTGGGCTGCTACACTCACTCTCTGCGCTGGTCAGCCAGTGAGCTGCCACGGGTCAGGGCAAACATGTCAAACTCTTCTTCTAGCTTGCCAGAGGTGTCGAGGGTGTGCAGCCCCGCGCTTACGCTGCTTGAGCCCAGGTCTGTGGGAGAGAAAGCAGGGTGAGCAGGCAGCACAGAGCAGTAAACGGAAGGCTGTGGGCTTGGAGGGTGCTAAGTGGAAAGCTAGCATCAGAACAAGCTAAACTGCTCTAGGCCCACTCCTCTATGCTGCCCGTCAGCTGCAGCACAGTCTGTGCATTTGTGCAGTGTTGTGGGTGAAGTAACAGAAGCAGTTTCTTCGCCTGCTCAGCAGATATTTTTAGCTCAATCTGAGGCAGCAGCAGTAGCATCAATTTACTGCACTGATGCTGAAGGCTACATGTTCCTGACCATTTAAGACAACTCAGAGGGAACTGCTCCATAACCTGTGGAAGAAGATAACCTGTGCTTCTGGGCAAGCACCTCTGAGACAGATGAGCGGACTTTCATGACTCAGGCATCATCTGAAAAAACCCTGACTTGAAAAAATATCTCAACTGGCTTGTTTGTAAAAACAGTCTTGCCAATTTTCTATAGCTGCATCCAAGCTGTACTGAACATGCTCACAGCTAGTGAGAGCTTCAGCCAATGCTATGTAGGCTGTTGGTATGTCTTGAAGAACCCTCAGGATCTCTCAGGCTTTCTGAGTAAACAACCTGTCAAATCCTGGGTCCTCAGCCCAAGATGCTCATGGCTGCCTTTGCAGCACAGCTCAGCTGCTTTTCTTCTCCCAGACCTCAGTGGTCAGCCTGACACCACACAGCAAGAGAGGCAACTGCACTGCTGCTTAGAAATTGCAGAGGGAGCAAATTTCTGCCCTATGCTGCTGGAAGACCCAGTCCTTAGCCACAGCCTAATGCTGACATCCTTCTTAAGTCATGTCCACCTCCTGCACATGAGGTGTGGATGCTGAGACATATGCTTGTGTGCCTTGGGGCATATACAAGTTTCTTCATGAGTTTATTAGTTGACAATACACCCTATTTCTCTAGGTTACTTTATGAATGTCACTAAATAATTTTGGGAGGCGATTCAAGGGCAGAGAAAGGATTCCCAGAGCAGCACAGGAGGACTGAGGGGAAAACGACATGGCAATATACTCATTCCAGCCAGCTGAGAGGAGAGATTGTTGGTGACTTCAGGCTGTCTCACTGCAGAAGGAGGACTGGGTCCCAGGTCAATCAAGCTGTTCTCTGCCTCATTTGGTGCCTTTTGAGAAAAAGAAAGGAAGATGGTGGAGAGTTTCTGAAGCCCAGATACCCTGACCCTTCAGTCCTAGCTCATTAACACTGGAGAGGGAAGCCCTTCTGTAACCATTGAAAGATACCAGTTGTGAACCCTCCCCTTGTGAGAAGGGGGACAGTGACCAGAGACCTCGCTGGGAATAGTGTCCCAGGGCAGAATTTGCCTTGGTAGCCAGCCTCCCAGCTCTGCTGGATGTTGGTAAGTAGGGTAGGTGCTGGTTCAGAGGACAGGGCAGTGCTCAGAGGACAAAGGGAGGCTTATATGGGAATTGATCCTCTCAGCGTTCAATACTGGAAAACCGTAACTGCTGCTGGTCTGCTCTTGCTCTTTGGGTGAGAGGAAGGCTCCCACTGGCAGCAGGGGAGAGGCTAGCAGTGGGAACTGGAGTGTCCTGCACACCAGTATGGCCTGGTGCAGCTGGGCTGGGGAAGCAAAGCCTACAGCTTGTAAGTGGGGCAGACTGAACATCTCTCCAATTCAGCAGGACACTGCAGGATGGAAACCGAGCTGCACAGAGGGGCAGTTACTCTGAGTTACCTTAACAGGCTGTCCTGTCCGAAGGCGCTCGAACCTGCAAGAAAGATGACAGGATGTGTTTCAGTAGCATGTGCTTATTCACCCACAGCCCAAGAGACTTCTTATAAGGTTTGGCACAGTCTGCCCTTTCCTATGTACTAGGAAAGGGGGACCACGGCTCAGGGCCCAATTCCCCCTCAAGACCAAAGACACCACAACAAGGCCGACAGAGCTGATGTCTCCTGAGAGGTGGTGTGAGGAAGCTTCTTGGGACCCTCCAGAGCTACTTCTAACCAAAATGGTTCAAACCCAGCTCTCCATACAGACACAGGGACTAAATTCTCCAGACTTCATCCTAGCATAAGAGATGGGTTTGATGAAATGGAATTAAAAAAAAAGGTGTGCAGACCCCACCTGTGCAAGTCCTTTCTGCCCCCGTCTGCCTCAGAGCTAGAAAACCAGCTCTTTCCATGCCGTTCCCTCCTCCTTTTTCTGGATTATGCTGAGGGACATCTTTATATTCCATCAATAATTTACACAGCAGTTTTGAAGGGACAGGAATAAATCAGCAAAAACTGAGAACAGGCTTTGTTCTCAAAGATGGATGACACATCTTGAACACTATACTCATGGGCAGACCAAAAGGGTGGGACAGAAGGCCTTCAAAGTGCAGTAAACTCTTGTGGAAGAGCAGGGCAGAGAAAGGAGGAGAGGTACCTTTCATGGCGTAGAAACACATTGTTGAGGTTGTCATTGATGAGGAGCAGCTCCTCAGTGAGTTGTTCATGGAGGATACGGGGAATCAGCTCCAGCACACGCTGCTGCATGGCTCTGCATGTCCGATTCAGCTCCTGCCCACAGCAAGGGGAAGTTACCATGAAGGTCAGGCTAAGGCTGAGCACTCACAGATTTGGAAGTCTGACTGGGACAGACAGACCCCAGAGGCTACTGGGGTCTATCATTGCTGATAGGGTTGGTGGGCAACAGATATTGGTGTGAGAGGTAAACTGAGTGAGCTTTACAGACAATAATTGTATGACTCTTGCTAACACATCACCCAGAAAGGCCCTCGAGGACTACAAGTCCCCATGTGAGATGATTCCAGCCTCAATAGTGCAACTTCCCTTGGCCATTGAAACTCCACCTTCTCTGTATCTCCCTTATCCCATCACTCCCTGATAAGGCCCACACTAAACTGTCCAGTGCAATTGTTCCCCACGCCTGGCATGCATCATGCCTCAGTCCATCAAGTCATTGCTAAATTGAGCTGCGTGTGCCAGCCCTCCACCCCACCCGTGTTCCTTACTTGCAGCAGCTCCAGGTCAGAAGGCTCAGCCTGGGACGGCACCAGCTCCGTCAACATCTCCGACATGACCTTCATGTTCCCGTTCACCACTTCCAGCTCACTGCGCAGCTTCCCGATCTGCGAAAGGGAGGGCATGTGACAGCTCTGCCTGGGAAGACTGGGCAGACAGCTGAGGTAGCTCTGAATGGCGGCGCACCGCATGTGTATTTGTTCACAGAGCCGAAGGGAACAGCCACTGAGGAGCTCATTTGTCACCGCTCAGTTCAGCTCTCGGGAGGTCCCAGCAGAAGGAAGCTCCATTACTTACCATCAAGTTCATTTGCAGGTAACAGGTGCCAGATCCTTACCTGAGATCTTTGGCCACTAGCCTAGCCTTGATTTTTTAATAGCCAGCACAGGCTGCTGTTATGATTCAAATCTCTCCCCAGCTAGCAGCTCCTGTGTGGCAGCCACTCAAATCGTTTCATTTCCAAAGCGGTGTAAAAGGGCGAAAAAAATGAATTTCCATTCAAAAGGTGAGCCTGGGCTAAGTGTGCAGTTGAAGCTTTATCCCTCTGGTTTTATAAGCTGCTAAAGAGCCTCCTGAGAACAGCTTCTAGCCTCTGTTCTGCAAGGGGATGCAACCTACCAACAGCTGGAGGATTGGTGCTGAACATGGTGTCATATGAAGTCGGGGTGAGGAAGGAGGAAAGAGGATGGGGAAACAAGTGAGAACGCCCTTTGGAAACCACATAGCCAGACAGGGTTGATTCATACAAAGTCAGCAGCGAGGCAAGATAAACAAAGATGATAAGGAGGCATCTACTGAGCAAGCTTTTGCTCTACTGTGCTACAAAGACCTCACTCAAAACCTCTGTGTCTCAGTTCCCCAGCTCCCTATAGCCAGGAGATCTTCCCTCTACCTGCAAGCAGCCCTGCCTTCGGAAAACATAACCACTCTGTGTTTGTGGTATCCCAGCTCATCACTGTGACCACAATGGAGCTGTGGGGAGCTCTCGAGGGACTATGCTTTGGAGGAACAGCTCCTTTGGGACAGAGGCTGGGGAAGGACCAAGACAGCAGTCCCAGAACAGTGTTTGTGCAACAACCCCCAAACGCAGGGGGAATCAGCAGCACCATGGGGCTCGTGTCCAACTCACCTGCTCTGGCGTGGGTGTGATGGGCGCGTCGCTGGATGTGCCTCTCCCGGTGGGCAGGGTGACAGGGTGGAGGATGGACTCTATCTGCTGAGGGCAGTTGACCACAGGTGAGTTCTGTCCAGACTGGGAGTCAGAGCTATACACAGTCTACACACAGAGGCAGGAGAAGTGACAGAGAGAAGGAGATGTTAGACACTCAGAGCTGACAGGGCAGTGCAATTAGGAGAGAAATGTTGATGACAACTCCCCATCTGCTTTCAATAACTCTTCTAGCAAAGAGGCTGTCCTGGAGCTTCTCACTTCCCAAAAGCCCTCTACATGCAAGCTAGAGTTCCTGAAGTCCCGCCATAGCTCCAGAATGACAGCTGCCCAACACCCTTCTCTTCAGCAATGCTCCCATACCCTCTGTGGTGTGTGGATGGGTGACAGCATGTCCAGATCAGTCATGGGGAACTCCAGACCCTTCCGTCTCAGGTCTTCATAGACAGCGACGACACCTGTCAAGTCCGGTGAGCTGCGGAAGGCATCTGCCCAGGACTGGGGAGAAGGAGACAGTAAAGCCCATCATCATTTACAGTAGTCTTCTGTACAAATGCCTAAAGACAAACACTCTCTGAACTGGCACAGATGCTCACGCTTCTTAGCTCACCTGGATGAGGGTCAGCACCTTGTCATGCACTATGGCAGGCGGATTGTTCTTCGGCAGGATTGTTCTCACCAGGACACCTTCTACAAAGTCCTGGCTGGATACAAGGACATGGAAGCGATGGCCACAGTTTTTGACGCATGTTTCCAGGACCTTCAAAGGCAATGAAGCATTAGCTATAGCCTTCTCTGCCATGTGTGTTCACCTTGTTGGCTTTAGGTACCCGCATCTTTTCAGCCAGGGACTCAGCTTTACAGCAGGATATCACAGAGCTGAGAAAGAGCCCTGACCACTCACCGTCAAAGCCAGCATAACTTCATGGAAGTTCTTATTCCCTACAATTCTCTTCTTAATGGCTCGGAAGGCATCTTTGGGCCTGCAGCAGAAATCAGATGAAGAAAGATCATCAGAAGGTTCAGACCCACCTACAGAGAGGCAAAGCAAAACGGCCACTGGCTCTAGGTGCCTCATACTCAGCAAGTGACCTTCCCCACTATGTTTTCAGGGCAGCTTGAAGCAATGACTGGTAAAGCAGCTTTTGCCTGTGGTTCTGCAAGAGGCGTGGGGTCCTGCTAATGAATGCTGTTAATGAAATTGGAGGCCCCTGTGCTGATGTCTGCAGCAACTCAAGGTGTACAGGACACAACAGAAAGCAGAGTAAAAGCAATGCTAGAAATGCACTACTTGGGAGTAGAGCAAAATCCCATGGCAGAGAGACTGAAGAGGAGGAGATCACAAAAAAGCTTGGCATGGGTTAGAAACAGGAAGGAGAGAGCAAGCTGCAGCAATCCTTGTGTTGCTCAGAGAGAAGCTGTTTAACAACATTTCCCTTGAGGAAAATAGGCTAAAAAGCAGCAGGGGAGATGCAGTGGCAAAATCTTGCCTATATTGCAGGTGGGCAAGAGAGCAGCAGCATGGCACGGTCTCCTTAACCATTCTCAGAGTGGAGAAGTACTGCGGTCTCAGCCCACCATGGTGTTGTGAGAGGGCACAAATGAACCAACATGCTCTGGCAGAGCATGTGAAGAGCAGCCAGGCTGGAAGAGCAGCAGTGCTGGAGAAGAGTGGGGTGGAGAACTGAGGCAATGAGGAGGGCAGGAGTGTATTGGCCCGTGGGGCAGCACGGCTGCAATGGATGGGCATTAGCAGGGCAATGGGAGAGCCTGCCATGCCAGGAGGGTACAGCTGTGTTATCTGGCACCCAGAACTGAAACACCAAGCGGCCACAGCTCAAGACTGAGCGCTGTGGGCAGAGACAGATGTATTTGCACCGTGGGGATAGCATGGAAAAGAAGTGGTGACAAATCTGTGAGTAGAGATGTTTGACTTTGTTTTCATAAAACTGTGAAGCTGCAAACTGGGCTCGCTAATCCTCTGTCAGCATCACTGTGGGGTAGGACAGCAGGAGTGAAACCTACAATTTTTATTCCATGTAGCACCTTCTTTTTTACATGCTGCTCTTGACATCTTCACTGTGAGAAGGAGCAGTCCCCCTTGAATTCACTGGCAAATCCCCAGGTCCAGAGTTAACAAGTCTGGCAGATTTCTGAATGTCTCCCCGCAGGGAGAGGGAGACAAGGGCTCCCCCACCACATGTCTGAGTGACCGTACATGAAAATACCTGAGAAGTGAACCCCAGCAGGACTTGCACAGTCAGAGGACTGAATAGCAGCCTGAAATTCTCCTCTCTCCTCAGTCACCAGCCTGCAGATTTTTACATTCCCAGGGGAGAGAACGAGAGGGGTATGAAGGAGGAATAAACCGAAGTGGAAGAATTGCAAGTATGCCTTTGGGAGATGGGAGGCAGCCTGGCTTGAATCGAGGTTCCCTGGGGACCCTGAAGGCCTGTTTGAATGGCTCCCAGCACTCACAAAGATTACGGGGAAGCATCTAACAGATGCTCTGACAGCTTTGCTGTGTCTCTAGGTCTCCTAGCAGAGTTTCATCTAAGGGACTGTTGGGAAGCCTAGCTTATTACCTTCACCAGTGCAGTGCTACCACTGCAGTCTAGGGATGTAGTGTTACAGGGTGTGCTGGGACCTGCTGCTGGATGTGTACCCTTGCCAGCTCCCTTACCCTTCTTCAGTCTCGTTAATGATGTCGCAGATCTCCATGTTGAGAGCCCAGTCCTCACTCCGCAGGGACCCATCAGTAGCTCTCTCTGGAAAAGAGAAACCAAGACATGGCAAGGCTAAGAGCAGCTCTGGCACTCTCATGGGCTGCTGCTGTTCAGCTGTCAGGACACCCCAGAGCCCAGCCACCTTCTCCCTGGCTTCCACCGCAAAACGCAAGGAGGAGAATCCAGCTGCAAAGTCCAGGCCACCAAGAGCTCCCCACTAGGTGTCACCACTGCAAAGCACATGGCTGGCCCGCGCTGGGACACGAGGTTGCTCAGTTTTGCCCATGCCACCCAAGCTACCAATACACAAACACACACTGTGCAATCTCTGGTGTCCTGCACACGAAGGAAGGGGGCTCAGCATGACTTCAGCTCCACAGCTGGAGAAAAGGGGGTTTATTTGTTTTGTTGCTGCAGGGCTAGAAACCATGAGTTTGGTCTGCTCACACTGACACGGATCCAATGTCAGTGGCACCACTCTTGGTTTGCATCAAATTAAGGAGACAAAAGAGTCAACCCCCTTCTTTTTACATGGGCCCTACAAAAACAAACAAGTGAACATAAACAGCCGAAGCAGGGCTCTTTCTTGTTTAACATTTACATCTCTCCCCTGAACTTCTGGCCTCTGGGGAGTATGGACTGAAGTGGACTGCAGACTGAAGTCGAAGCAATATTGTTTCGGCTTTGATTGTGTCCCCTTTAATTAGGAATTCCTCAGTCAGCCTTGATGTTATTCAAGGCAGAGATTTGGGAAATGAGCAGCTATTACTGAGAGCAGAGTGTCTCCACCCTATAATCAGCCATGTCTTAGTCCTAGCCGTGCCGACCGACTGATGCCTTCAGGGACACCACCAGCGGCTGGGAGAAAGAGAACTGCCAGTGGGGCAGGCAGGGCCCAGGCACTTTCCAGACCATAGGGAAACGCAGAGACGCAGCAGATGGCAAGCAGCGGACAAGAACCATCCTTCCCAGCTCTCCCATCCCATAAAATGCCTGACGTAGCGCTGCGGCAAGAGAATTAAAACTAGCCAGACCGGTTTAGCACCTACCAAGTGTTCAGAAGAGCTCAGACCCAACAAGGTACTTAGAGAAGTGCCTGCATTTTTAAAACTGCTGTGCCTGCAAAATCTGGAGCTGGCCCTTGCTGCTGTAGGTCCTCTACCCCTTTGGAGAGGCCCTTTCTCTGCAGAGCTGCCTTTTCTGCTTTTGACCCAGCAGCTAATGATCCCTCTGTGGGAATGAAATGCCCATTCACGCAGTAATGGCATAGGGCCATAACGCAGGAAAAAGAAGATTTTTTAACTCCTGCCTGGGTAAGCACATCCATCATGTTTTGGGATGTCCTGTTTTTAAGGGTCAGGCAGAGAGCTATTCACAGCACTGTGCAATGCAGCCTCTTATACACGTGTCCCTCTCACAGATTACACACCACAGCGTGAAGCTACCTATCTGCATCTTATTGCAACCCAGCCACCACCTTTTCTTTTGACTGCAGAATGTATTGATTACACTGTGATTACGCTAATTACATTGTGGCCACAGACAGATGGAAGAGGACAAAGAAGGGAAGGAGAGTGGCAGAACGTTCTTGATCCTCTTCCACCTTTCCGAAGGTCTGTCTACTACTGTAATATCCTGAAGGCCCCTTGATTCAGGTGAACTTTTGTCACTTTGAGTATTAATTTTATATAGGAATCCTCGTCTCTTGCAGATCTAAGCTTCCTCAGTGAGGCACAGGAGGCAGCATCACATTGGGTGATGTAGTGGAAAATATATCCAGGGCAGTGGGCTACAGGGAAGCATGTCTGGTGCACCAGGGCATATACCATTGAATGAGGTTCCCTCCTGCTCTGGGACACCACTTGGCCAGCCTTGCCGGCAGGCAGATTGCAACTCAGGTCGGTCTGATGGATTTGGCACACATGGTCACAAAGTCACCCTTTGCTTGCACTGTCCTCCAGCATCCCCTGCTCATGAGACAACTTGGTTTGAACCCCAGCCTAGCCAGAAGTTTCTCCACACTGTTTTCTGCCTCTGGCAATGAAGCACACAAAACAATCACACAGGGTTACTACACTGAAGGGAAGTCCACATCCACCCTTCTCACCCCTGAAGAAAACCACAACTCAGGAACAGGGCTGAGCCTGCTGGGAAGCTCTGAGCTACAGAAGGAACCAAGAATGAAATGAAAACTGCCTTTAACCATCAAGTCCTTGCTGTTCAAGTCTCCCCAACCCTCCTCATCCTCATTTTCCCTGTACACAAACATGAACTGAGTCTGCAAATACCCTTCCCTTGCTTCCCTATGTTTGGTGGCACTCTGTAACCTGCTCCCCCCCCACCCCCTTCTCCTCCAAACACACCAATCCTGCCAAGGTCGAGCAGCAGGTTTGCTGTTCAGGTAGGAATGCAAACAAACTGTGCGTGCTCCTTCACCTGGCTGGCCACTTACAGGAAAATGAGGCTTCCTCAGAAGTGAGATACACTGCCCTGCTGTTACCCCACAACGCTGTGGTCATCCTGCTACCATCACCCCTGTTCACACGCTGGTCAATGAAGGGCTGCAGGAAAGCAGCAAACCTGCCATAAATGCAACATAGGTTCAAAAAATACAAAGCTGGAAGAGCAGTATTAGGGCATATAGAAAACAGGAACGTGACCATGATGCATTTCCAAGGACAAAGCACTTGAGTTTACCCAGTACACATTACGGCCTGGCCTAGCTGGCCTTGGGACAGCTGGAGCTAATGCCCCTTTAATCCTCCTTGCTTCCTTCCAAGCACTGAGGGACTGTCCAAGCCTAGTAAGATATGTTGGGAGTTTTCTCCGAAATCCTGAACTTTACCCTTTTACTAAAGCCTGCAGGAGGGAAGGAAACAAAGTCTATTCATTAGTCACATGAAGGATCAGGGTGGCTGGCCCCGTTTCACGAGCCGTAATTAGCACATGAGCTGTCTGCCCCTCACGAAATCTGAGCCTGGGATGGCTGGGGACTGTGACAAGTCCCTAAAAACAGCAAGCACAGGAGGCAGGGCACGGCCGCCCACCCAGCGCTCTGCCTGGCTGGGCTCATCAGGCAGCATCTACTTCTGCGTGCTAATGAGCTGAGCCTGACCTGCTGTGGACAATTCCCCCCGGCGGAGGTTATCGGTGAATGTACGAATGCTGTCTCCCTCCAAGTGCGAAACCAACTGACTGTTGAATGTACAGGAGGCCCTTCACGGGGCTGCTTCAAAGCCACATTGTTTTGGCAGCCAGTCCGGCTTCCCGGGTGTGACAGCACTGGGGTTTGTCTGATTCCAGCCTGCTGCCTCACAAATTGCTCGGATCGACCCAGAACTGCTGAGGACGGTGGTATGGGTTGAACCAGAGCATTGGCTCTTTTCCTGCCTGGCATTTGATGTGCTCCTGCTGACAGCAACTAGGTTATAAAAGTTATCTGGAATCATCAGATAAGAAAGAACCCTGAGCTTGGCATAACTGACACAATGGAGCTGTACATTGCTTCGTGCTATGAGTCAACTTTGCAGCTTTGCTTCTTTTCAAGTTTATTGTCTCTGCCCTCATGGCAGGGGAAAGCCCACTGTGGGCCTGGCGATCCCACCCAGCCATCCCTGGAGCAGCACACCAGCAGTACAGTCAATAGCGCAGGGCTGTACAGGAGCTAGGGACAGAAGATACTGAGCAGGCTCCTGTCCCCTCTGCTCCCCATCACAGATCTGAAGCACCCATAACCAGCCAGGTGCTATTCAGAAACCCTTTGCCCATGAGGTGCTCTGCCATAGCTCATCAAGAGACTGCGTGCCCGTCCTCCAAGTCAAGTCCTTAACCAGCATTTCCCTACAGTGCTCAGTCCTGCTGGCTTTAAATTCCTCAGCAAAGCATCAAGCACCTTCTCACCCATTTCAACATGTGTTTGAGGGCACCAGCATTTTGTTGCATGAGACAGCGTAAGTTCAGCAGAAAGCAACACAACAGTCCTTTCTCCCAACCCCCCTTCAATTCATAACCCCCCTGGCCCAAATTAGCATCCTGCACAAAGTCTCCTTGCTAAGCCTCACGCTTTCGCTTCCCTTGAGGAAACTTCAGCACCAGCTCAGTCAGGACTCCACCATTTAGCTGTATTGCTTCTCCCAAAGACGGAGGGGACAAGGCGCTTTCTAGAGAGAAGAGAGATACAGCTCCAATTCAAGGATGGCGATGGACACAGACTTGTGCTGACATAGTGCTGTGGGTCTCTGAACTCCTCCTGCTCCTTTCCTTTGAATCAGCTCAAACTCTTAGGGATCAAATGACTCTTCAACTGCTGCCTTTGCCCCTTCTCCTCCAGACACAGCAGGCACAGAAGACAAGGCAACACCTTTTTGAGAAGCACTGCCTTGCAGGGACCCATCTGGCTCTGACAGGAGAGTGTTACTGACAACAGCTGATGACTACTACCCACCGGCTCCTAAGGTCCCAGCTCACAGAGGGGTGCAGGGACACCTGCAAGGTAGGATCCAAATAGCTGTGGGGATTTTTCTGGCATATTTTGTTGTATCTGCCCCTCTTCCTTACCCATGAGCCTCTCTTACCTGCTCCTCTTTACAGTCTCAGCTTTTCCTGGTTCTCATGCTTAAACCAACCCCCAACCATAAAAAACTCTCTTAATCTCTGTGCTACACCGTTACTTCTCTCCCTTGCCTGCCCTCACTGAAATAACCCGTCTCTGTCCCTTTCAGTATTGCTATAATTACTAGTTATTGCAGAATTCCAGGGTCAGGAGAGAGCAGTGGTGGTTTCCTCTCCGTTCTCTCACTCAGAGCACCTCCTTGAAATTAGATTTTCCATTTTGAAGATTCTCTTAGCTCCTAGATGGAGGTGCCATGGATTTCCTTTTGAGAGGGGAATCCAAACTATGATGCTTCAGCACTCTTTGGAAATTTTCCCACTGGTCAGAAGTACTGCGTTTAAAAAAAACAAACAACATACAACAAAAACAAATACCCCAAAAACCAAACAAACAAGTCTGTATTCATCTTACTTGGGAAGAGACATCACGGTCCAAAAACAGGACAGAGGCAACTTTTGTGACTAAATCTCAGCACTGAGAGTGAGAAGCTATAAAACCTACTCCTCTGCAACTGACTCATTCTGTGACGGATCACTGAGATTATTCCTTGTCAGCAAAATAAATGGGATTTACTAGATTAACATTAATGAAGGAATCTGGGAATGTCGCTGCAGTGTGCCACCGAGGATTTTTTTTTTCCTTAGCCTTCATTTAAAGCTATTTTAGACTTTATAAGCTGTATCAGGCATACATGACTTTGCCCAAGTAATTTACAAGAATGCAGTATTAGCTTTCGGCAGACAGCCCAAAGCAGCAGCACTATGCAGGTTTGGTGATCAGGCTCATGGGTTCAACATGCAGCTGCCACAGACCTACCAAACAAGTTTGGGTAAGTCATGTTCGCGTCTCAAATTAAACAGGGAAGATACCATTTATCCATGTCCCCAGGATGTTGATAGGCAATGTTCAAAAGGAGAAAACATTCCTATTTTCAGCCACCAGCCCTTTTAAGTCCTCCACAGTGAGTTCCTTTCTCATATGCTGCAATTACTCCACCCCTTTGGACTCCCATAACCCAAATCAACCCCAGTCATTAAGATCTCTCCACTGTCACACCTCTGGTACTAAGGACTCTAAACTCCTGTTTAACAGCACTCTTGAAATATTTTTTCCCTCTTCTTTTCTGTTGGTTTGTTACTTAAAATTCCCTTCTTTAATCTAAGCAAAGCCCAGAGGGAACCCATTTACAATCTGGTTACTATACTGATCAGAAGATCCGGAGGGCAAGAAGCGATCTGTGACATCTAAAGATAACTTCAGATTGCCGCTACCCAAACACAGAAATGTATCTGATGCACTCACTGAGGGAATCAAAGAGCATTCATTCTGGAAAGGGCAGGAGACGGCTTCTCCTGGAAAGTGTGATGAAACCTGTGACATGCCTCTGGGGACACGTCAAAGATCATCCAGAAGTTTTTGTTACAGAAAACCTTCCCTGGTGATCCTTCTCCCACCTTGCTGTAGCGCCTCTCACCTAATCTCACCCAACACTAGAGAGTGGCACATGGCAGTGCCCCTGACCCACACCATTCGGACAGTGCTTTGGGTAGCCTCTAAAATAAGCGGTGCTTATAAAAGCATTACCTAAACCAGCTGCTTGCTCCCTTCCCACCCCTGCCACAGCAGCCTATCCCCCCATGCAAGCACACCCAAAACTACTGAATCAGGGACCAGATGTTCGCAGCCAAGAACAAAGGTCTGCACAAGTGACAGAAAAGCAAGACTGAGCAAGTGCATAAACTTACAAACAGCTGTTGAACGAGCTGGAGTTTAAATGGGCAACAGCAACCTTCAAGCACGACTTGAAGGCGCTTAGACAATACAACATGCGAAGAAAAGAATCTTTATTCTAAGTATTTTAAGAACTGCATCTCTGTTTTGAGACCAGTGTAGCTGGTCTTCTTTCTAATTTTAACATCTCTTTGCTCCACTTCCTCAGACTGTGTCCTTCTCCTGCGTTCATCTAGTTGACCTGAGCACAGGGACTAAGAGAGACTGCATGTCTGCAGGCCTGCAAGGTCACAGAGCGGACGCTACACTCCTGACGTTGATTTCGTTGCCAGAGCTGGTACTCGGCCCTGTGAGAAGGCCTGTGGTGCAGGGGAGGTGCTCTCCACAGAGCCAGGGCATGGCCCTGCCAGGTCCTGCTTGTCCCAGACCTCCGTGCCGGGAAGTTCAGGGCGAGCAGCCACCCCCGGGGTGCCCAGGGCGCTCGTCCTTCAGGTGGGGAGCACTGATCAGACTAGGTGAGCCACGACGCCCCGGGGCCAGGCAGCCCTAAGCCCATGTCCTCCCCCACTGCCTCCAGCTCAGTGATGGCCGCCCCCCGCCGCCCTGTCACCTCAGGGAGAGCTTGGCCCCTTCCCGCCCAGGACGCGATAGGCCGCTGCAGCTGGAACCCAGCCAATCAGCAACTCCCCCTGTGCCCCCCCTCCCACCCCGGTAGGACCCCGCCCCTCCCGCGAAGCCCCCAAAAAGGTGCGGGCGGGAATGGCCCCAAGCCAATCACGGACCTCGGCTCAACCGGAGGGCGTGGTTCGAACCACACGTCCGCGGCCCCTTTAAGTGAGGAAACTTCGCCTCGCCACCTCAAGACCCCCTCGCGCCCTGATTGGCTGGTGGGGTCGCCGACGGCACCGCCTCGGGCTACGCGCCCGCTATTGGTCGCCAGCGCCCGTCAGTCAGAGCGGAACTCTCCTCTCATTGGTCGACGCCGTCTCCGTCCCGCCGCGGAGGCGGGAGCCACCGCTTCCCGGAGGAAGGGGTCCGGCGAACGAGCGGGCGAGCGCCCCCGGGGGCGCGGGGGGGAGGGCGGACGGGCGGGCGAGCAAGGGCGCGGGGGTGCGCGGCCGCGAGTCTCACCGATACGCTGCCCTACGGGGGAGCTGAAGGGGTTCCCCAGCAGAAAGTCCATCGCCGCCGCCGCCGCCGCGCCGCGATCAGCTGCCGCCGCCGCCGC